CACACAATTGCACTCTCTCTCTTTCTCTCTTTTTTTTAGCAACAGCATTTTGAAGTCCCAAACTGCCTTGGGGGAAAAAAAGGAAAGCAGAGCTTCTAGTTACTAATTCAAGCTTCCACCAGAAAAGGAACTTTTAAAGAATAAATTTAAACTAGGTTTTAAAGTATGACTACCAGCCAGTTTTATCACAGTAGCCTGGGCAAGGTAAGTAGGTTATAGCTAAACCAGGGATAGTAAAACCATGGCAGGCAGTCCGCTACCTCCTAACCCCGCACCCAGGACAGACATTCCTTATTGATCACAGTGCTATTCTTCCTTTTCAGCAGAGCTCCCCAGGTCCCCATTACCGGGCTACTGGAGTTAGCAGATGAAATGGAACCTGCTCAATAGCCATGGTGTCCACAATACTTAATACCTACACGGTGAGAGTGAACGGATTTTCTCTTTTCTTATGGCTGTTTGTGGTCATTCGACAACTGCCCACCTGTCGATGACATTGTTTTCATAATGTAAACAAGCACATACTGAAAATGCTTCATATCTTGGTCCTCATTGTTATCCTTCTTAAGGTAGATAGCTAATCATACTAGAAGAGGAGGACTGGCGGACGGAAGAACTTGCACTCCCCAGGAAATGTGGGGCGCCTGCCCACTCCCCATGGACATACTGAATTCTAGGACAGTTTCATCATTGCCAGCCAGGAAGTTTGCATATTCCAAACTCCCAGACAGAGTTTACCGTCAGAAGTAACATTCCTGTATACTTAACTGTTCTTTTCCAGAACAGTACCCAAAGTGGTAGCTGTGTGGGGGTTATATTCACCAGACCTAGATCAGCCGCGTCTACGTTTCAATTCTTGCTCTATTATTCACTCAGCTGACAGCACCATCTTTGGCAAGCCATCCTCTGAATGTTTATTTCCTCACCAGTTTAAACACACACACACACACACACACACACACACACACACACACACACCCCCTACCTCACATTAAGGGAGTGAAGTGAGACAATGCTTGTAAAGTATGTCCATGGTGAGTGTTCAATATATGCCAGTTATTTTAATCATAATTACTCAAGACATCTATTTGATTTCCTCTTCTGAAAACCCTTCCTGTTGTGACTCTTGTCCAGTACTGAGGTCACCCTCATGCTCCCATCCTCATTTTGAATAAGCCCAGGAGAGTCAGGTTGGCAGGTGACCTTTCTACCAAAACACTCCCAAGAAACCCGTCTTCTTCAAAGAAGAGAACTGGTGGGCCTTGCTGGCCCCATTCCCAATCTGTGCATAACACAGATCCCCCTCCCCAGCTCACCTAGCCCTCTCTCCATAAGCCTGCCTCTCTCTCACAAAAAGTTATCTGTAGAAATGCTGAATTGGCAGCTGCTGGAGTCAGAGGAGGAGATTTATTAATAAAATACAATTGCCAAATCTTCCTCTGGAAGCTTCTAGTGTCACCTCTACCTACATTTCCATGCACTTGACAGTCATGATCAGGGCTGCTGCATACAGCTACATAGGTTACACACTGCACAAGGCAGACCACCATTCATGCCATAGGGCCCAGTTATAGATGGCAGCCTGCTTGATGCTCTAGGTGAATCTATGGATCGAACTGATCAGAATTAACCCATGTATTGGAGTTGACCTGTGAGATGGCTCCTGTGAGTCAGATTCATGGTCACAAAGAGCTGATACTTTTCCAAAGCTCCAGAGGGCCTGTGGCCCTCTTTGAAGAGACCAGTGGTGTCCATTATCTGCAGCAGTCAATGGCCCACCATCCTCTTGTGGACAGGCATGGTGTGTGTGTTAGACCATCACCCCTACAGGGCAGAGGGTGTTAGGCATCTTGCATTTCCCAGCACCCACCACAGTCCCAGGTACAGAATCAGTGTTTAATGAACGAGGATCTTCTTGAACTCTAAACGGAACCCCTCCTGCAACAATCACAGCCCACTCCTCTTGAAATACCTTGCACAGTCTGGAAGGCTGGGGTGTGCTAGTAAGTGTTCAACTACCAGCTCTCCAGGAAGCAAAGAAACAGAGAAACAGATACCTCCCATTTGTAGTATTTGCCAATTCCCACTGTGTAAATACTCTTCCTGGGGCTCATGTGGCCCTACCAACATGTATCACTGAACATGGGGCTGGAAAGAGATGTACACAGTCGGCTCTTGTGAGCTGGTACCAGCTGGCTCCAGCAGCCTGCTGCTAGAAGGTCACGTTCATTTCTCTCCTTAAATCATGCAATTTTCCTCTTCTGTCATTGTCTCATTCTCTAATGAGTTTCGCAAAAAAAACTTGCTCTTCCAACTAGTTTTCATCCTTGAAAGCTCAGGCCAAAAGTTATCTCCTTTGTGAAGCCTTCCTGATGCCCCTGCCCATTCCCAGAACAAGGAACTGAGCTCTGCTCTGTGTTGGTCCAACATTGCACACGCCTGTTGCAGATGGTGTGAAGCAGTGAACACATGACTGGCCTATTTCTCATTAGGATTGTCAGACCTCTGGGGATGGGAGAGGACTGCTGTTTGTCCATCTCCGGAACCCCACATCCAGCATGCAAGAAGTATTCAATAAGAGCTTGTTGAGGGGTGAGGGGGAAGGAAGGAATACACAAACAAAAAAAGGACGACTGACTTCTGAGTCTTCTTTTCATGTGTTGTTACCTTCTGCAACCCTAAGTTTCTGCCCCCTGCTCCCAATCAGCCAGGAGGCTAAGAGCAGGATTGCCAGTAACACTGTATAAACATTACCTTACAAAATTCTTTTCTTTTTAACTTGACCTTCACACCAGCTCTTTTAGCACAAAGTGAAGTCAGTCTCAGTGAGGCGGGGTGTGGGAGAAGCAAGAGTGGAGAGAGAGGAGAAAAAGTGGGGACTGATTCCAGCTAGGAGTGTCTTCTGTTAAAACTGCATCCAGTTGCACATAGTGAATTAACATCCACAGGGATTAGCCCTGGAATTTCTGAATCGTGAGGAGATGAGCGTCTGGTAGAGGGTGATCGGCAGCGACCAGGCACGGGTCTTTACCTGGTGCTGCTGGACGTCTCATGAACTGCTAAATGTATCGATCCCTCCCCACTACCACGTGAGCCTCGGAGAGGACTGACCTTCTCTGAGCAAGATGCACCAACACGGCAGCGGAGGCCCAGGCTACACAAAAAGGGAAAGTGAAGGATGGAGCAGCGCCATCGATTGTCCCTTTATAGGCATCCGGCTGTTGGTGAGCTCACCCCCAATCGTCACTCCCTGGCAGGGTCATAAAGTGAGAAGGCTCTTTACTCTTCCCCTGACAAAGGCGGGAGGGGGCTGATGGGGGCTCTCTGGGGTGAAATGCAGTCCAGAACACATTGCTCAAAGCACATGACATAAATAAAAACATTAAAATCACTAGCACCATTACCACATGACATAACAACAATTAATAACGTGGGGAAACACGGTGCAGGACTGAAAGCAAGCCTTCCCAACACTCTTTCAAGTTCATTGGAGAAATCTGAGCCCCTAGGAGTAATCCAATTTATCTGGTATCCAGCCTTCCAAGGCATGATCCTTAAATATGTCAGCATCTAAGGAGGAAGAAAAAATTATCTGCACAGAAGTGAAAGTCGTGGTTCAGTAACATATTTAATGAAAGTCAATGGGAAATACGTATAGACTCATGTGGATCAGATTACGGCCAGCTGGCTGGAACTCCTGAGGGGTTGGTGAGGGGGAGAGGTGTGTCCTGACAGGGGCAGTCCCAGCAGCCCCCACAAAGATGTCATGAGAGTGGAGCTCTTTAAGAGAGAAACCAGAGCATGAAAATGGTGGCCTAATGGGTAAGCTGTCAAATGTGACTTCCAATTTCACAGATGGCTTTATGACCCCTCAGTGCATTAAGAGATGCAGTGAATGGAAGGATAGTGACTTTCCCCCTAAAGCTAATATACGAAGTGGCTGTCTGTAAGACTTTAAGCATATTTTATCGAGTTAAAACGTTACAGGAAGAGGCAACTCCATGGCTCTCCAAATATTGCTATGAATAAAGCACTTCTAAACGTAGAAACTAAAAAGAAGACAACAGCATATGCGTGAAGAGAGCTTGAACAATGGCTAACAAGAATTGGAGAAGAAGGAAAGACAAAGAATTTTGTAGAAGAAAATAAAAGGAAAGAGGACACAAAGCAAACACAGTTTTAAGAAGATTCAAAACAGGCAGTAGAGGAGGCATAAAGAGATTGCTTATAAAGTGAAGATATTTCGGGATATTTTACTCGTTCACATTAAAAAGGCTGGGTCCACTGCCAAATTGACTCAACTACTGATCCATTAAGGAAAGATGAAAATTCTACGTCAGTCTTTAGGTAGGAGCTCCTGAGAGCATCTCAGGCAGCTAGTCCTCTGCTGGGCTGAGTTTCTATTCCAATGCAATAAGGTGGATGAGAGCATGCATGTTTCTCGGAAGTGAAATCTGTCTTGGGTTACAGTCCATATCATAGATCTTTTGTAGGAAATACAGTTAGGGGTGGGTTTTCTTCTGGAAACAGTGGTCCCTCTTCAATTCATCATGATCTGTCTCCAAATGCATGTATATAGAAAAAGGAGAACTGAAAGTTTGGGAAGAAATCTTGATCCAGAGCCATGGAAATATCAGTGAGTGAGACATTACGTCCAGCTTCTAAAAATTTCTGTTTCTTTCAGTCTTCTCAACTGTGTACCTTAGATCTCTCTCTTCATCTGCATTTGGTAGTCCATTTCCAGAGCTATGTCTGAATCTTCCAAAACTACAGCTGACTTCTCTCCAACACCGGTCAAGCTTGGCCACCATGATCAAGGTCCCCAAAAGATCCCTAGACACACATTGTAGATGATTCAGACTCATCTTCTGGGGAGAAAGATGTTAGAAGCTCTTTTCTCAATGGGATGACTTTTTATGCTGAAAGAGAACACCTTGGACGGTGGGAAGAAGATGTTTGGACACCAAGAGAACAGAAACGAGGGGAGGGGAGAGCCATACCTGCTCCGATGACCTCTTCGATTTTCACAAAAGATACATCAATCTCCTTGGCAAACTCCCGGACAGCTTCGTTGGGGTCCTCATAAGTGAAGGGGTCAATGTAGATCTTCATCCCTGGGGAGCCTTATTAGAGGAGACAAGCAGGGTTAACATCCCAAAGAGGACACGGTGGTCAGTAAGTCCTGGCTGTTGTCCCCAGCTCCCCTACACACCAGATTGCCTCTCTGTGCCTGGCTGGGCCTTCCCATCTCCCTTCCCTCTGAGCCACACTAGCTTGGTTCTCTGTCCTCTACTTCTCCTCCATATTTTCTTCTCTTTTTGAGCTCTTGATGAAATGTGGAGCAGATTACTTATAAGTGACAGATCGGGACCAGTTCCCACACTGAGCACTCACAGAAGGCAAAGAAACTGATTGATGCCAACCAAATGCATTAGCAGAAAAGCGGTGGTAAAATGGTAGGGTAGGTATCAATATTCATCAACTTGACAATTTTTCTGAGTGGAGGCCACCATTAAGGTTATAACTGACGGCTGCGGCCAAGGCTGCAAGAGGGATGAGGATGGATTAAAAAAAAAGGAGAGAGAGAAAGAGAGAAGGAGAAATTGCTATTACAAAAACCCCAAGTTAGAAGTGTCAAGACAGAATACCAGAAGAAAAAACGTGAAGAGAAAAGCTTAGAAAATACTGATAAAGAACAAAGTCTACAGAGAAAAAAAAAATGAGGTGGAATGAAAGAAAAATGGTAGTGAACGTCCATGCCCTCAGACACACAAAAGTATGAAAAACAAATAAAAGGGTGAATGAGAAATACAAAAAGGAATATAGACTTTGCCACTGATGTTTAGAGTGGCAAGATAAATAGGTGTGCATGGGGACAAAATAGAGAATTGTCACTGCAAAAAACATACATTCAAAAAGTGGAGGAGAGGGGACAAAAAAGGAAATGGAACCAAAGAAACAAATGGATTCACTCACAATGTAATTTTCAACATGTCAGATGTGTCACTAGGCAAAGTCTAGACACTGTTTCCTCAGTGGTGGTGTGGTGAGCAGGAGAGGACTTTGAAAGCAACACCACATGGTCCAGCATGGCATCCTTGTGAGGGGGAGGCAGTTTGCCTGCCTGCTGCTGCTGTCTGGTCGGTGGAAGAGTCAGGTCAGCAGGGCAGGCAGGTCTGGAAAGGCACAGGTGCCGAGCGCCCACGGTCAGGACCCAAGTCTGAGGTTGGGACCTCCCGTCCCCACTGCGCCTCATCTCGCTGACTCGCAGCCCTATATGCAAAGGCTAGTTCTGACATTTATCATCCAAAAAACTCTGAGGACTCTACAGCTCCCCCAAGTTCATGTTGCTTTGGTCATAATTCAGGCAAGGATTCAAAGTGCTAGAATCCAATCCAGAGGGAGAAGGAAGATACAGCAAAGAAGTGAAGGGTTTTTTTTTTGTTTGTTTGTTTTTTTTAAGTCAGAGAGAGCCAGGTGCTATGCCGAGAAGATCAACTCTTTCTGAAAAATAGTTCATTCCCAGTCACTAAATAAAATCACTCCTAGCATGCTAGGCTGTTTGCTTTAGGTTAGTCAACACCATGCTAGAATGCTCCTTGGAAACTTGGGAAGAACAACATTGACTTTGGCATCTGCCGACTGAGATTTGGACAAAGCAAACAGAGATCCTCACCTTTATGTACAGTGTTCTAATCCCTGAGGAATGTGGGGGGAGGGGAGAGAAAGAGAGAGAGAGAGGCAGGTGTTCTACTTTGCTAACAGTGGACTAAAAGGAAAGTAGGGATGGGGTTCATCTCTTTCTCAGTTGGTATGAAGAACAAGTGAAGAGCAAGAACCATTGAAACCAGACTGAAAGTGTCTAACGAAGCCAGATCAGCATCTCCAGGCAGCCAAACTTTGGGTTCCACCAGAAGCAACCCTTGGGACAAGGTTCTGAGAAACAAGTGGCTTATCTGAAAGATGATCCCACAGCAGTAGGGACAGGTGAGTGGGGAAGTAAGATCGAGGCAAGGCAGTCAGCCTAGAAAAAGTGTGTTCTCAAGCCACTTCCCAACGCGGGTAACCGAAGCAGGCTTAAGCCCCCCCAGGGAAGCTGTGGGAGTTGGTGTGCATGAGCACATGCTTCACAGTTGGCCCACCCTGGATGGAGGGAGCTGTGTTATTATCATCCAGGTTCCCATCAAGCCTTTGGTGGGGGCTGATCAGCCTGCTGCGCAGGTGAGCAGGGAGCCTCCGTGGCCAGAGAGAGCTTTTTAGGGAAGAAACACAGATGGGGTAGGTGGAAGTTGGCAGCATGAGCTGAAGGGGTGAGCGCAGGAGGTGAGGCAACCACAGACCCACTCAAAATGCCAAACGGACAGCAGGTCAGTGTCACAACCTGTGAACTTTCCCGAATTCCATGCTGTGCGGAGATGAGAGGAGGCTGAGACCCAGAAGCTGGGGTTGAAAGGCGAGGATAGAATCCCAAAGCCTCCTACTAGCCTGGGCGTAATGCAGCAAAGCCACATCCATCTCTTAGAACAGGCTTCTCCTCTGCCAGTGGCGAAGCTAGCAGCTCCTTCCCACAGTGACTGTGATATTACAGAACATATTGCAAGTGACATACCCAGCACAGCGCCTGATGTACACAGGGAGGGCTCGCACACTGACGCACTCGTGATGATTATCAGTAAATGGTTCTAGGAAGTGTTTGGGGAGGTAGGAAGAGGAAGCTAGGTGGGGTGGCCAGTGGGGCATGTCAGCCACTTAGAGTTATATTAGTTACTTTAAAAATAACTACCTTGTTATTTTAGATCAAGGGCTTTTAAACAATGTATGCTAAGCTGTCCTACAGGAACTCTTCCACAAAGACTAATTAAACAATCTAGAATGTGCAGTAATGAATGGTTTGTAAGTACAGACACATATAAGGATGAAGGAGAAAGGATTCTGAGTTAATGAGCTTTACAGATATTAGCCCCCATCCATTCTGGGAAGGACCTACTCCCAGAGGGCAATGGCTCATCTCCTGATGGGGCTGGCATTCTTCCAGGCCAGCAACAGGCAACCAAGTGCACCAAGGTGGGAGCAAGTTCACAATTCAATGATGGGTGCAGTTTACTCTCCCGGAGAGGTTTGCTACCTTGCTGGCTTGTAGGAATGGGGGCAGGGAAGCACACGAGTGATGTCACAGCTGATCTGGGGCCAGGGGTCCTGACTGTTAGTAAAGCCCTTCACGAGCAGCTGAGGGGGCTGCATGGAGGAGCCCAGGAGAGGAGATGCAGTGTGCCTGTGAAGTTCTGCTTCTGTGCAGTAGTAGGAATTAGGACTTGTTTTCCCTGAAACTGAAGATACCATTGTCACATCGAGGAAGGGAAACTGAAATCAAAAGTCTACCAAACGGCTCAGACATGGTGCTTTTCCCCTGATGAGGGTCTGAGAGGGCTGCCCTAGCAGAGGGTCCTGGCCTAACTCCTCCGGCTGGGGGCAGGGATCCAGCGGTCGAAATCGGGAGAGTGATTTGACCGAGCACGTGCCCATCACAGCTCCCCGGCATCTATCTCATCCTGGAATAACACCGCTCTCCAGACCTCTTTCCTGCATTACCGCTAGGCTTTCTCAAGTCCCAGAAGATGATGAGAAAAAAAAATGCCTTTAGCTAGGCAGAACAGGTCATTTGTCTTTTGGCTCATTTTGTGTTTCTGCATGAATCCTGCATCAGCCTGTTCCTGCTCCCACTTGCCAGTGAGCAGTTTTTAATTATCAGGAAAATGGTATTTAGTGCAATGAATCACTAGACAGTGAACAAGGAATTCAAGTCAGCTGTGGAGTCAGGCAAACATTTGGAGATGGGGCTCAGAAATTGTTCTCAGATTATGAGTGTTGGGGAAATATTATCAGTGGTAGTAATAATATCAGATGCAATATAGCTCATAATATAAAGCATTTTATAATGCTCTGTACGGTGTTTTACATTATTATTGTTGTTAATATTATATATTTATACTATTTTTACAGTTAACTGATTTTTTTTTCTTATTTTTAACATACGTTACATACCTTTGGCACAAAAGTAATGTGTACGGATCTAAACTTCTGAATGCTAGTGCCTTGAGAGAGAGAGAAAAAATCTTCAATTTTATGATCTTCTAATTCACTAATTTCTATTAACTAATTTGCAGGTATGTTTGTTCTTTGATTTCAAAACCCATTTATGCTACGGCTAGGGGGTGCAGCCTGGGCTGCCTCCAACTTTAAAAGACCATAGTCCCAGGAAATTAGCCAAATCTTACCCATCAACCCATGCTTTAGGCATAGAAGTCTGGGGACAAATGACTTAGCCACTATCCAGAGCCTTCTTGTGTGGCACAGAGCACTCCTGGAAGGAGAAGAAACTCTTGGCCATTGTTAGAGACCCTACATCACTCCATCACGGGGCTCTCAAAAGTGAAGCAGCTGGGACAAATTCTGGGGATGCTGGCAGATGTGTGGGGTGTATCTAAAAAGTCAGTTAGACTTACTTGCAAGTGCCAGGGTCTCAGGGCTGAGCAGAAGCAGGCTGGGAAAGGGCCAGTTCTAAATGATGGGTGACATAAGAGGATTAAGAGCTAACGGAGAAGATGGAGTGCTCCTCTTCAGCCCTCTTGTGTACTCAGAAAGTACAAAATCAGTGCCACGGACATCTTGGGGGTCCATGGAGAGCAGACAGGCTGAGAAGCTTCAGGGGTGCCAGGAAGAGGCTGATGCCCTCCTGCTGGCTGAGGATTCCTAGAATCCCACAGTATGGCTCCAGAGAGGTAGTGACTTAGCTTGTTCTCAGTCACTTATACCTTGTGTCCCGGCAGGTTTGACAGAGCCATGGGAAAGAGCTAAGTGTGCTTCCTCGGGCCCCATTCTGGATCCAAGGCAGACTTTGTCATCTTTGTGACTCACCTAAATTTGGTCCAGATATCTAAGCACAGGAGGGAAGCAGTTTAGGGATCGGCACATAAAATCCAGTCCCCGGGAGGGACTTCATCCAATGCTCTGCCTCAGTACATTGATCATCCCTCATTTGTCTCAACGTTGACAGGACACTGTTCTAGGGACTATGGGAGCTATAGGAAAAGCAAAGCTCATGAGGTTCTTCTTCTGATGAAGA